ACATTATTTAAACATTCTTTAAATTTTAGTCGATAGAATTTGTTTACTGACACTAAATTATCTGTTATGCTAACAAACATTCCCTAGCCAATACTTACTTTGGCAATTAGTAGGGAAACAAATTCCAATAATGATGTCCTTTTCTTCGTTTTCAAATTTCTGCCTTATATGCCTTTTTTAAATATTGTTCTTTCAGGAACAAAAATAATTTTTATCTTCAATTTGAAGAAAAAATCTTGTGTTATATTAACTTTTGTCTTCATACCAATCACATTAATTTAACAGAACGTGATAAAAATACCGTAATACTTACATGTATAGTCAGTGGTAATTAATACTTTGCAAATCATATTTCTAATCCAAAATAGCTAGCTCAAAATATTACTTATCACTTGTTAACTACTACTAACGATTGGGATGCTGTTTGAAAAAAGAGCAAATCGATTCTCCTAAATAAAAAAACAGTTTGATCCAAAATGAGATAAGCCTGTATTCAAGCATGTTTTTCCATAATGACACCTTTGTTTCTTCAGCATAATTGCTTTCTGATAATTGCCGTATGCTTCAGACAGTATCGAAAATTTTGATATCAAAACAATTTCATTTTTTTTAAGTAAAGAATTTGATCATTATTGCACTTAATCGACTAATAATTGAAGCCATAACTTTTAGATTGACTGACAGAAAACGGTAAACTCAATTAAAAAAGACAAAATATTGGGTTGGGATTAATCCCCAAATGGTTTTAATTGAAAAAATTCTTCTCTATTCTATTCGACCAACAAAGTCTACTTTGGAGAAAACTTGTTAAATCAAATTAGATTACAGTTGAAAGATCGGTTTTTTTTTTCTTTTTCAATGGAAAAATTAAATTGAACTCACCAAAATATGAAATCGCAGTGCATATCAGTAAAAAGAAGCCATTATAGAAAGTAAAAATAAAATTTATAAACTTCTGCTATTTAAAATTTTTAGAATAATATAATTTTTATTCTTAGAATTTAAAATTACGTAAAAATTCTTCAGTGGAATCTTTTAAACTTCATATGGTTTGCAAATGAACAAAAAAAAGGTGTACAAGTTAAATGTGTCAGATGGAGTAACTTTTTAACAAGTCATGTAATTTCCATTTTGGTAAGGCCAACTATATGTATGTAGTGTGTAATTTTGATTATTCAATGAATATTTGTAAAGTGATAATCTGTATATAAAGGATCCTTCTTTTTCCAATGAATTCTAAGCGTAAAAACTTCCAAACATTGGATAATAAATAAACTACAAATATTTGCAGAATGTTTGAAATGAAAAAAGAATGAATACGCTCACAAATAATTCTATAATAATCATTGATTCCGCTTCATTAATTGAATGAAATTTCCAAAAGTATTTCCATGTCACAGTAAATTTGATTGTAACTTTTACTGTAAGAATTACGATATTAACTTTTAAAAGTCAGTAGAAATTTTCCATTTTGCTAAGCTTTGTGTGGTCAAGAATTTCAAGAATATTTAGCAAATATGACTACTGAAAACTCTTGCATAACTAATGAAAGCTAGCAAACTTTGAAATATAAATTTGATTGTAAGCAGTAATCATATTAATACTTAAAATCATATCCAGTTTGCTTTGCTAGGTTACATTATAAATTCTAAAATCTCATGATTTCGTATCTACACGATTTGACTGAGACATGTTTACTACTTGGCAATGAAATTTCAGTAAAAACTATTAATTATTATTTTACTATATATTTATTGCTACAAAAATAAATACAGTGAAACAATTGAAATATTAAAATTCGAGAAGAATATAAAAAATTAAAATAATAAATGCCATTTTTTGCATATTTGCGTTACTCTAGATATAATTTACTAATGGTTCAAATCTGCTGGACAAAAGTAAGAATACTCACATATCAAATCAATGCGCTCACAATTAATTCATCCTAGCAATAAAGTTGTATTTTTCACAATATGAATTAAATATTAACATTTACAGACGATGATTTAATAATTAATAATAATAATGATAATAATAATAAGTAATTAATAATAAATAATAAATAATAATAATAATGACTCTTACAATGCTTTATTCAGTACTTGAAATTGAAAAGCGTGATAATGCTTACTCAAAATCAAGCTTAACATAATAATTTCAGTTTTATAAGAAAATAAGATCTATTAATTGCCGGAGTGAGCTTAAAATGCTTGTAATTACATTTAGCAATCTTTCTGCCTTTAAATAAATGTAAAACTATAATTTGCACGATTTGACTTTGTTTTAATTTCGTATTTATCTCTAGAGTATTTTTATCTAGGACAGTTGATCTAATGATGTTTTGAATAAATTTTACTATATCTTAAGTGAACTCAGCTTTATCGTTTTCATTGTTAACAGTTTTCCAAGAAATTAGAAATTACTTTCAACGGACTTTCCAGAACTATTTTTTGAATTTCGAAAATTGTTCGAGTAAATTTTGTTATTAAATTTTAAATAGCTTTTTAGTACTCCATAATAAATAACATTCTTTAATATGCCAAAAAATAGCATTTTTCTTTTGAAAATTTTTTCAAAACATTTTTATACAGCTGAAAAAATTTTCTTCCTGTGACTTAATCCCTTTTTAAAAAATCCACTTTCAACAAATTTTTGTCACTAATATTTTTTGAGTTCAATTCATCATTAAATACTGACATATTTCTTGACTATTTTAATCTGGAAAAACTATTGATAAAGTTATTGGAGATGACCCAATTAGCTTGGTAGCACATATTTTTTGAATTTGTTTTCGGTCTTTTTTCGTTTTCCGATCATATCAATAGGTAAAGGAATTAAAAAATCATTTCTAAAGAATAATTAAAGAAATAAAAAATAGATAATTCAATGAATTAAATTGAAAACTGAACAATGTTTACAAGATTTTGTTCCCAATATTTCGTTCTAATTTAACTACTGAATAAATATTATGTTGGTGATGAGTTCACTTTCTTATGTGTTGCAAAGTGAACTGATATCATAAAAAAAGCTTTTTTTCCTTAGAATCAATTAGTACATAGTAAAGTTAGTTTTAATGTCTTAATTTCAAGAACAAATAATGGGTATTATTGAAATGAAGATTGGGATGTTAAAGTTTTTGTATTTCTTATTTTTAATAATTCTTGGATAAAATCTACGATGCTGAAATTTCTGATTTTCGACAGTTAGACCATAAAGTTTTCAAATTATTTATTCCTGGTCACAAAGTTTGCTATTTCTCCGAGCTGAAAAGCACAAAAAGAAAACGCTGGAAGTATATAAACAATATATGGATTTTTCATCGAGTAAATTAAATGAAATCTTATGGGATTCACTCGGATCAGTATTTCACTAAGTTTTTAGCGAAAATAAATATCAGTGCTTTAGTAAAACTCTTTTATTTACAGAGATTACAACCTTCAATAAACAAATAAAATACTTTTTTAGGTCTGTAGTTTGTTTTGATCATTTCTAACTCTGTTACTTTAACCTTCCATTATCCATTATCTTAAAAAACTTTAACAGATTGAAGTACTAAAGTTTTAATCAGTGCTCAAAGAGACTTTTATAAATTCAAGCATCAAAGTTAATTTTGCTACTAACTTCTAATAAATAAATTATGAAAATTTAATTGAGTTCCTGCGATTCGCAGTTTCGGTTTTTTAATTGATGAAATAACTCGAATTTATCTGTTTTAATAGTTCGGCCGAATCAATAACTTAAGTACCAGAAAAGTTTCTCAGAAAGGAGCTGAATATCAAATAAAAGTATTTTCATTATTGTGCTTATTCATATCTAAGCTACTTTTAATTCTTCCACGTACTGGTACCTTTATTTATTTTTTCGTTTTTATAATAAACACATGTGCTATTGTAACAAAATGGAATAAGTGACCTTGATAAGTAATCATTTATTATTAAAGTATCATTCAGTGATATTGTTCTTTATCACAGAGATATTTTTTTCCGAGGCTTACGTAAACAAATTAAATCTAAAAACTATTATCGACGTCAAAAAACTAATAAAGTTATTTAAAACTTTATAGTGATATTAAAAAGCTTCAATTTAGTAGTTATTATCAATAGTATATATGTTGTGGTTGTTGCATATGCATTACACATTTAATTAATTTTATCACAAACTTCAAATGGAGAAATATTTTGCCAGTCTTGAAAAAGCACTCCTAAAATTAAAAGTTCACAGATTATGGCATATTTAATGTTTGAAGCTAAAAAAATTAGTACAAAAATATCAGCAACGATTTAAAATAATGCTACAAGCCAAGCATTTTTTTTATTACGGTTTTTCGTTTTTCCTTATAAATTCTTGGAAAAGTTATAGATTACACAGCAAAAAATATTTAATGTAATGTATCTAATCTCAATTCAAATATATATTCATGCACTTTATGTCAAACATTATTTCATATTAAAATTACGACCTCCAAGTAGACAAAGAAAACACTTTTTTAAGTCAGTAATTATTAGTAATTTGTTTCATTTAAAACATTACTATAAATAAGTATTTAGCAGATTATCATTCAGAAATAAAAAATATTTGCAATTATTTTTTAAGATGAATGTGAATGATACGGAAAATGTGGAAAGAGCGATAAGAAAGCAAAGTGTTAGCATCAGTGTAATTATTATCATTGTGATATTTCTTGTTGTCCTTTCAACTGCATTAAGCTGTTCGTTGATTTATATTTTAACAAAACAATCACCTACAGTATGTCTCTCTCCTGAATGCATTCGAACAGGTAAATTTGCTACACAGTCTTTAATATATTCAATTTCAATAACCACTTTTATAAATTGTAATTCGGAAACTAGTAATTTATTTAATTTACTGATTTCTGACTAAAATTTAGTAATACTAAAATATCTGAAATATTATATTTCGGATGATAAAAATGCAATATTTCAGATGTTAAAAACTTGATCTCCAATGAAATTTTTAAGAAGTTCTAAATTTATCTGTTGATGTATTTTTTTTCAGCATCTGTGATTTTGGCTTCAATGAATGCAAGCGTGGATCCTTGCGAAGATTTTTATGAATATGCTTGTGGAAACTGGATTAAAGACCATCCAATACCTGATGATGCACCATCAGTTTCAAATTTCGAAAACTTGGGACAGGATCTTGAGTTAGCTCTAAAAGGTAATATTTACGACTTTGTCATGGCATTTTCTGTAAAATAAGCAAAAGGTGACGATGAGTTTTGTGATTGAAAATGGAAAGTTTGTACTGCTGATAGTACTTTCGGGAAAGTAATCAAAGGCACAATTCAGGCTTACTGGAGCAAAAAAATTTAGAAGGCTTAGATGGTGAAGCTGTGCAAAAAGCACGAGCATTTTATCAGCAATGTCTCAATGAAAGTAAGCCTTTACTTACTCAATTTTTGATATATTTTATTAAATCCTTATCAAATTATCCAATATACAACAGGTGAAAATTTTATAATAAGAAATAAATGAATTTAGTCAAATTTTTAGGTGCTATTATGAAAACATGGAGGAAAACATTTGATGAGGCAGTAGAAAATTTTGGTGGTTGGCCTAGTTTAAATAAAATCGGTAAAAAACCAGAAATTCCGATTGAAAAAATGTATGGTATCATGGTGGCAAAGTATAGAAGTGATTCGTTATTTAAAGCAACCGTTCAACCTGACGATAAAAATTCTATAAAGCACGTTTTATTGGTAAGAATATTGCATACTTTATCAATTTCAAGTAGTAATAAAAATTTTTTCAAATCATGACTGATGTGTATTTAATATCTTAAATGCTAATTTTCATATCTTTATTGTATTAGTTCTGAAGTATATAAAAATGGTTGAAAAGTCATGATTGAATTTTTAATAATTTAAAAAAAAGTAAATTAAAGAAAAAAGAAACTCGCAATAAACGAAACTATAACTATTGCAACTGCAAAAGTTGATGCAACTCTGTTCTCTTTTGCTTTTTTTTATTAAACTACCTAAACACTTTTGCAGCTTTTCGTAGAATTTGGATACCTTCCTAAAAAAATAAAAAAAATAAAAAAATCTCCTAAACAAAAATTTACAGATTGACCAACCGGCTCTAAATTTATTCGCGCGTGAATTCTACATTTTACAAGAAACTCAAGAAGAGCGACTAGCTTATAAAACACTCATCAAAGATGTATTAGTGTTATTGGAAGCTCAGAATGACGTACTTGATCGAGATTCTGATGAAATTTTGCAATTTGAAACAGATCTAGCAAATGTTTGTTTCTACAAAATTTAAATTGAAACAGATAATTACTTCATTAATATTATAAGCAAAAGAGTTTAAAACTTACGCCCTAAATATTATTTTTTTTCAAAAATATTTTGCTTGGAAAGTTAAAATATTTCAAAAATGTTTATTTTAAAGATAACAATGGCAGATGATTTGAGACACGATATAGCTGAATTATATAGCAAAGTTACAATTGGAGAAATGAAAAAACAATTTCCCAATTTCGACTGGCTGTTATTCTTCAATGCAGTTTTTGAGTATGTTGAATTGTTGTTGCTTGCATAATTGATATGAAATTATTGATGCAAATGTTTCAAATAATAATTTGAAGTCAATTGCAGCAAATATTTACTTTACCACTAATTGCAGCAGCATTAAATCTACTAGTAGCAAAGCAGTAGAAATAAACGGTACAACACAAGTTGTCATATATGGATCGGAATTTATGAAAAAGTTTGATCATTTATTACCTAAATACGATAAAAGGTTTGCTGAATCAATGGAATTCATTTTTTGATGCTGTCAATTGAATCAAAATAGTTTTGCATATGACTTGTTAGTAGTATGATTCCATCAAAACGAACAGGGATAGCCTTTTTTTTACACCTGAGCAAATTTACTTCTCAAATACATTTAAGCTATTAATGGGAAAAATTGTATTTTAGTAGTCATTTCTACTTGCACCTCAATTTTTTAAAGGATAATCATTAATTATCTCTCATGGTGTTGGTTCTTCAAATCAATGTTACGTGATTTACCTGATCCATTCGCGCTAACAATGTTTAAATTTTATAAAACTCTTAATTGTAAGCTCTTTTTCTACTGCTTTGAGTCAAGCAAAAAATTATGATAACTCGTAGTTATGAAAAGTGTAAAAAATGTGCATTTGCTTGTTGCTTAGAAAAAAAAGCTAATGAATATTGATAAGTTAAGTATTATAACTAGATACGTGTAAAGTAATTACTCTGAAACTGATTATGCAAATTGAAATAGATTTTTGCAAATGTATTTGCAGTGATGCAGGTACCAAAAATGCGGTGGCATGGTTGCGTTACTCGAATTAATAGCTTGATGCCAATGGCAACATCTAGTATGTACATAAGAAATCATTTTGATAACGAAGCCAAAAAGCAAGTGAGTACAATTTGCTTTTTTTTCTTTTCAAAATAACGGTAACTTGAAGTACTTATTTTTAAAGTTTTAAATGCATTACTAATTTTGCGTTTTATAACACTATACTGACTGCTAAAAACATCTAAAATATGACTGACATTGAAGTACTTTCTAATATTATTAATTAAGACGTACTGAAGCGATATAAAACTTGCCATAAGAAATACTAGCTAATTAACTTGTCATCATCAAAAAATGGTCAAATTGTATAACAGTATCTGCAGAAGTCATCTTCTATTTGATAGAATTTCTCAAAAATTATGATAAGCAAACTGTTCCCTTTGGTAAATAACAAAAATTGTTTCAAACTTCAGTGCAATGTTAATACACAAAAAGTTGGTTACATAGTTCAAAATGAAACAATGCAAAAATGTATTAAATGATTTTGAAGGTAGAAGAAATGATTGATTTGATAATGATGGCATTCGTAGAAATGTTGGAAACAGAAGATTGGCTAACTGTAAAGACAAAAGCTTATGCTAAAGAAAAGGTATCATATTTGTCTATGAAAAATTACAAATTTTTAATTTATCATTTATCATTGCTTCATTCTCGTTTGAAAAAATGTTTCGTGATGAAAATTTTTACACAAATGATATCAATAATGTCAGTTTTACTGCAAACAGTAATCTAACTAATATTCATTCTTTTTCTTCAATTCAGTGTATTATTTTCACTCATTATAACTGATATTTTTCAGTGAAATAATTATTTGGAAGAATCTGTACTTCGTAAAGATCGCTATAATTGTATAATAATGAGATGATGAATAGTACAAAATCATGAAAAATATTTAAATCAATCAATTAGTTATAGTCAATCTCATATTTTAAAATAAAGTATGAAGAATAGAAATGATTTGAGGTTGATACCATGAGCAAGAAGATTGGCTATCCAGACTATCTAAACAATTCTAAACTAGTAGACAACGAGTATAAAAATTATGTCGTGTATGATGGCTATTATTACAAGACGAAATTCCAATTTTATAAAATGTATCAGAAAGATGTGCTGGAGCGAATAACGGAGAAAGTTGATCGCGAAAGGTTTTTCGCAATTGTTTCGGATGTAAAATATGTAAATGATTCAGTTCATGGACTATTTTTATAGAGTTTAAACATGTTATGAAATATTTGAGCCATTTATAAGCTCATTTTACTTGAATTTTAGTGCTGATCTTTAGATCTGAAAAAGGAATTGGTGAAAATGGATAAGCAAAGTTTGTACTGTTGTGAAAAAATAATATATATTATTGTTGCATAATACTTCGTAGATCCATTTAATTTTCAGATGGGTCGCTGGAGCAGCGCTTGTAAACGCTTTTTATAGTCCAAACACAAATGAAATAAGTTAGTAAGATATTTAACAATGCTATTTTTCTTACTTTGGAAAAGTTAAATAGCAATTTCAAGGAATTTTATCTAATTCTAAATATCTTACGAACTTATTCCATTGAGGATTTTTTTCAGGGATTTTTGATCATAAATTCTTTGAAAGCCGTTAGATTTAATTCAGACACCGAGACTAAAAAGCATCATGTCACTTTTCATATCAATCTTTGTACTTAACTTTCTTTGTACTAATTTTTATGTCCATTATGAACCAAATTTTGTTTTGATTCAGTTAATTTAGTATTTCCGGCTGGAATTCTCCAACCAGTTTTTTACCACAAGAATTTCCCTCGCTCTATGAATTTTGGAGGCATTGGAGTTGTAATTGGCCATGAAATCACTCATGGTTTTGATGATCGAGGTAAAAATACCACGCTTACTTTGTTCAGTCATTAATAACTTAGATCTCCTGAATTAAGTAAATTTAGATGAGGAACAAATCCAATAATTGATAAAATTTTGAAGTGTTTTGTTTTTGACACAAAAAATCACAAAAGTAATTATTACCTTATATTTACTCTATAATCAAAATTATTATCCAGTTATGAGATAGTTTCATTTCACAGTTATGCTAATATTATAAGGTGAATTTGTCTGCATATTGTAGCATTTTTGCAGTCAATTACTGGATTTATTTTACTCTTCAAATTTCATTATTAAAAAGTAAATTAAACTTATGGAAGTGCTATTTCCAACTATCAAGACAAAGGACGAAAACAAATTATGCACTGTGCTTGATTTTTTTCACTAGAGACAATTGGACTTATATTCAGGACGACTGTATGATAATTTGGGCAATATCCGCCAATGGTGGGATAATGCGACAATCGAAAAATTCGAAAACAAAGCACAGTGCATTGAAGATCAGTACTCAGCGTTTGTACTAGAACAAATTGGCATGAAAATTAATGGCCGAAGTACAAAAGTATGTTAATTTTCTTCACTCTAGTCATTTATGATGAGAATTCAGTTTTGCTTCAAAAATTTAGAATGTATAAAAAACTCATCAATGTGAACAATGGTTTATTTAAGTGCAGCATAATTCAATTGTTTGTCACCAAAGTGATATTTACTTTTTTAAAATATCATTTATCATTTCAGGGTGAAAATATAGCTGATAATGGGGGATTGAAACAGGCTTATAAAGCTTATAAGAAATATGAGCGTGATAATCCACAACACTCATTATTGCCGGGTATCAAGCTGACTCACGATCAGTTGTTCTTCTTAAATTATGCACAAGTTAGAAATTACACTCAACTCATTATTTGTCAAGACTCACTGAATTGAATTATCACTAAGTATTTCACATTCTTACCATCTCTTATGTCGCTCACTTACATTTATCATATTTATGGTTGGCTATCTTATCTACTGAAATATTTATATTGTCAATTCTTTGTGAAAAAGACTTCAAAAAAACACAGAGCTGTTAAAACCACTGCAGCCAAACATTTGGTCATATTACTGATCTTTCTTAAGATAATATGACCATATTATTGATCTTAAAAAAGATCAGTAATATGACCAAATGTTTGGTTGCAGTGATTCGCTGATGAAAATTCTTTGCTCTGCACTGAAACAACTTTTGCTGTTTCATAGGCAGAATTTCAGATTTGGTGTGGTAACATGAATGACAAAGAAGCAGTTAGGAAATTGAGGACTTCTGAGCATTCACCAGGACCTATTAGGTGCAGATTCTGATCTGTTATTAGTTCAAAAAAATCATATCGTATTATTATTATTATTATTATTATTATTATTATTATCATTATTATTACCATCATCATTATTATCATCATTATTATTATGTCTCAGAAAAGTTTTAAAAAAATCTTGTAACAAGAATGGCAAAAAAACTTTGAATAAAATCCAACATAAAAATATCATTGTTGTTGAATAACCAAATAGATAACAGCAACCAAAATTAACTGAGGCATTTTTGAAATTAATATTTAGCTGATAATAAGAAAATCTCTATAACCTAATTTCAGAGTAAAAGGACCGTTATCAAATTCAGAAGATTTTGCAAACGCATACAATTGTCCTCCTGGAAGTTCAATGAATCCATTGCATAAATGTCGAGTTTGGTAACGAAGCAAATACATCTTATGTAATGAAGTAAGGAATAAATTGAATTTTCTTAATAAATTACTCAATTGAAACTCTTTTTGGAAGAAGTACTACTAGACTTTTGCCAATTTTTTTCTAATATCGCAGCAAAATAATTTCACGCAATTTGTTTGTATGTTCTTTCAAGGCAATATGAAACTATTCACTAATGGTGCTACTAGCAATATAACAGTAAATGTATGTGTAACAGGTTATGCACTTTGCGAGTTTTAGATTCTGCCTCACAAATTAGTTGATAATGAAGAGTCATGCAAATATTGCATGACAACCTGATATCAAATTTTTGCTTGAGATTTGGTTTCCTAGCACTGAGTATGGTTCTTTTCTTGTTTTTGTTAAAATTCTAAACGTCATAAAATTTATGGAACCAAACTTGAAAAAATGAATGATACCAAAGTAGAGTGAAATTTTACGTTAAATTTATTCATTCTTTTAATTACACTTGTCATCTTAAACAGTAACTGATTTGACTGTAAAGATGATAATCTGAGCATATTTCTAATGAGGACTCATTGCAAGATAGAATTACCCTTTTATTGCTAACAGCAGTAATGGATTAGGTAGCTATTACAATTAAGCAGCTAAATTTTGCAAAAAATATCATATAGAGATATCAAATAAAGTCAAAACTGAAACGAAGTGCAGTAAAAACTATTTCTTGTCTTTCCTGGTACGTGTTCCTTCCTATACGTCCATCTCTATTAAGTCTGATTTTCTATCGTTAATCACCTACTAAAATTATACCTGCATATTTTATCAACGATTGAATTCAACAGAACCTTAAATATTTTGTGGCTCCAAATTAATCCTGGAAATTTTTATTCTTGTATACATATTTACAAAGCTAGATAAAAGATACATATTAACATACCTCAAAATATTTACAATTCATACACAGTAGAACATATTTACATTTAATATACAACATACAACATGAAGAAAAATCTCAAATATAATCTTATAGTAATGCTCCTCGCAATAAATTTTTAGTGTAAGGGTGGTGCATCCTATTCTTCAAATCAATCTGATGAGTAAACCTCTTACAATTTCTTCTTTAATGTTCGTTTTCCTCGAAGGCCATAAATTAATTACGGCACATTGACAACTGAGACTTGTCCGTTCTTGTACACCGGTGAACTGGTCAACTTTAGTTTTGTGACCACAGTTCGGTGCAAACAAATGTTTTCTCCTTGTTGATTCCGCGTCCACCAATTCATGCAGAATATGCCATGCAGCAAACTTCATATTAATCGAAACAAATAAGGCAGAATCGATACCATCAAGCTGTGCATTGCCATTGCGGAAAACAAGCTCGAAGCTCATAAATACTACTACCCAAGTGGAGTTTAACAGAGCGAAAACTTTTCCATGACTGGCTTTTGACGCCCTTAAAAATATTTCGCTCTTTATCTCACTCCACTTCGATAAGTGAGAATTCCCCTAATATCATCAATGCTTGCAACATGACATTAGGGGATTCACTTCGTCGGTTCCATTACCTGCA